ACTGTGATTTATAGCGTGTATTATAAAAGTTGTTAAGTTTAAAGTGACTAGAAAATGTACTGACAGTTTAAATTCTGTGTACTGAAAGTTTGTATCGAGGGAGAATAAACTGGTTTAAATAAAAAAGGATTTGTATCGCTGAAGTTCCTCTGAAATAATTTCTACTGGAAATTAACAAACAAGCAGACATGCAACAAAATATATAGTGAAGGTATTTATTTTGTGTACACAAAATAATGTTTTTGTCAGTCATGTGAGATTGTATGATCATGAGTATATATATATCAAATATATAGTGAAGTTATTTATTTTGTGTACACAACATAATGTTTTTGTCAGTCATGTGAGATTGTATGACCATGAGTATATATCAAATATATAATGAAGGTATTTATTTTCAGTGGATTTCTAATTTAGGTTATAGATTGTAGATGTATGTGTTTAAATTTTCTCTCTGTGTATTTTACTTTTTTCTTATTATTTTCTAGAATTCAGAAATCTTTAGTTTTTTAAAAATTCCAGATTCAGATTATAGGGATAAAACCAGCATCATTTGAGGTTCTTTTACGATTCATGTACACCGGAGAATTTAAGCCAGGGATTCATCTTATTGGAGATATATATCGTGCTTCCCTTAAACTGAAGATTTGGGAAGTGTCTCGAAAATGTGCAAAGGTAAAGAGATTTATTTAAAAATGAGGTACAAAATCATTATTTCTGATTATTGATTAATTAGAGATGTTTTATAAATTTTCTCAGGTTAAACATTTTGTTTTATTGTAAGTAGAGGTGAGGAAACAGTAGTCTATTTATACTTACATTTCTGTTTTCTGTTGTTTTTTTGTGAAATTGTACAGTTTTTGAAAACTTTAAAAAAACTGAGTTTTGCTGAAAAACGTTTTTCTGTAGACATCATATTATTGTTTGATTAACATAAATTGAAATGATTAACCTTTATCTTGACATCAGAATTAGTAGTTATCAGTGCATAGTGATAAAAGTAATTAATATTGTTCCATTAAGTTATAGGTAAATTTATTAGCATGTAGTCAAGTTAAAAAATATAAGATTTCCCAAACATCTTCCAACTTTAATCAAATGATGTATTATTTAACTATGATTACAGCACTTGAATAAGGCCATGAAAAAATAGGTGTAGTTAATGGATATTTTTCAGATCTGCAAAATGTAACACTCTGTTACAACTACAGAACTCATCTTCTGAAATGTTCCAGGAATATTTATTTATTTTTACCATCCAAAAGTATGTAACAGCTTTTTCAGACATGACTGATTTTAATAGATTTACCAGAAAGTTGAGGGAATGACAGTGTTAAATATCAGTGAATGCTTGACAAAGAAACCTGAAGGAGGTGCTAGTCAAATCGAGAACAGAAGATAAGAAGATGTTAGGGATACACACATACATATAGATCACAGGAGTGCTTAAGGCTAAGTTTTAATATTATTCTCTGTTTCTTTAATGTGAGCAAAGCAGTTCCTGAGTAATGGTGGGACAGGGATACCTATAAACTACATACTATGTAATCACTGAAAAAGAAGCCTCTGACATGTGCTTTGTTGTCTCGTTTAATCTCAAAGTAAAGTAAATTAGTTCCTGAGAAGAGATTCAAAATTTCATTTTGTAAAGAACAGGGACATATTACTTGTAACCAGTGGTGTTGTAAAATAGCTTGTTATTAAAAACTAACAAACAGTTTACATTAAAACTGGATTTTGTTTTTGCTGTGTTGTTCGTTTCTCTAATTCCAAACTCTTCATTAACTTTTTTCTAGTATATGTTAAATTGCAATTTTTTTTTCTTAATGCATAACATAAATGCAAGATTAAACAATATGGATTAACTTATTAAATTGATGTTACATTTATTTGTGTCCATATGATCTACATTATTAGTAACACCACAAGCTACGAGTATGACTTAAGGTACAAAAAAACACTGACATATGTGTGTGAAAATGGGTATTTTATTTGGTATAAGACCCAAATTGGTTTATAAAATATGTTGAGTAATGCCTAACTAATTGAAGATATTGTAACTGTAACAGTGTTTAAATAAATTAGTAATCATAATTTTATTATTTGATCATAAAAAAAAGTAAAATTATTACCCAATTAAAATTTCAATTCATTTAGACCTGTGTCTGCTCTAAAGATGTAGGTTAAAAACAAAAGAAATACGGCTAATGAGAAGTATCGTACATGTCAACTGAAAGACTAATAATGTTAAAAGTAAAACTTCTTATCATAAAACTGTCTAATCTTTGCTAATAAATATTGCAGAAGTAAATCCATGAGTTGAAGCCTTCAGATAAGACTAAACTTTTGTAAAGAGACTGGCTGTCTTCTCATTGCATCATTGTGCTTATAGTTGGAGCACATAGTTTGTAGTAGACTAGAATGATCTAGCATAAACATAACTTTATAAAAATGGATATTTATTAATTTTAGTTCAAATAGATTATGTTTTACACACTTATTAAATTAATAATGTCCAAAAACAATTAAAATAACCTTTAATGTTTTTCACATGACAGATAAAATACATTACTCATGAACAGATTAGTAGGCTCAACCCCAGCTTTAGCAGGAGTAGGGTCTCCTTGAAATCAATTTTTGTTTTATAGAAAATTATTATAAACCTAAGCAAATAAAAAATAAGACATTGCTTATTGAAAGTAAACCAATAATATTAATTGGTTACTGTGGAAATACTGTAATTCAAATATAAAGATTCTTAGCTAAAACACCCTTATAAAATTCTAGATTGACATTGTGAAGCAGTGTTGACCTTCCAGGACATAAAATACTATGTTTGTCTAATGGTGTAAATACTTTTTATTTCACCATCCAAAATCGTTTTTATAAGTATCATTCTGCATATATGTAGAAAGAACTCAAGCTTCAGTAATTGTTTTTTAGCAGAATAACTTTATGATTTCCAGATACAAAAGGGATTCATATGTTTAGGTATGAACCTAATATAAGTATACAGTTATAAATTACACCAAATAAAGTAATTTTATTACAACCTACTCAAACAATCCATTTGGCCAAGACTTTTATGGTACTTTCATTATTACAGTTAAGTGCATTTTTTTTTTCATTTGTCACTATACTCATTTTCTTAAAATGTCAAAGAATATTTATGTGTATCAGAGAAAAATAAGTGTAACTGAAATATATGTAATGAAGAATTTTAACTTTTGTTACTACTTTAGCTACTCAAGGGAGAAGAAGGTGGACCATCCAGTATTTTGTATGTTTATGCAACTTCCAAAATGTTAGGGTTAACCCAGGCAGCAGCTCATGCTTATCAAACAATTCTTAAAGAATTTGAAGACATTATTGTTACTCCAGAATTTTTGGACTTAGAAGCAAGTCAACTCTGTGAGATTTTGAGTGCAGATGCAATAGGAACGCGGAGGTATAATATTTTTATAAAGTTGTATCATGGACATTAGAAATTAATAAAGTTAAGACATTTAAAAGTAACCAGCTTCTATATTTTAAGATTAGTTGTGGTTACATGCTTTTTAACTGAGTTTTGGGTGTATGCTCATAAAACAAAGGTGACTATTAATTCAAAAAATGGCTAGGAAAATTTCCAACACGATTCCTTACCTCTTCTCACATAATAAATTTTTCTCGACTTGTGCTGCCCACTATACATACAGTTTTCACTCACCACTAGCTTTGATACTCCACGTACCCTCACGTAATTTCTTGTGCTATAGCTGTGCATGAGCATGCAACAACCCTCCACCAATAGGAATGCGACACACTCTCCTAATACAGCTTATTCTCTCTATACTGTAGAGCACTATCATCACTTTTAAATTTGGCATATCCAGTGTGCAGATGTGCTCAATTTTTGCTCTGTACGTACAATTCTTGTGTACATTTTCAGTTAATTCTAAAGTGTTTTGACAACTCTTAGTTTGTTGTCATTTATTTGCTGCTTATTTATTATTTGTGGATAAATTTTCTTTTTTATTGCTACATAATGTTACTACCATGCCTTCTGTTATGGATTACGCCACAACTGATCTACCATCACTTAGAACTTCTGTTGCTTCGGTCTCCACATTTTTTGTGAAGGAGGTTTCGACCATGATGCATCATGACTTGTAACATCACCTTCACTCCTATTTCATTTGTATTCCCATTATGATCCCGATTGTCTCCTTTGTCTAGTACGTGCTCATCTTTGTTACGTCACCTGCACTGCTTTCTTCCATGGATCCCATTCTTGTCTTGTTATGCCATGGAATACTTTCTCTACCCGTGATATTTCTCTTATCACACTTTCCGATGGAGTCACAAGCTTATTTTTCTTGCTTTTGCATTCTAATTTGAGGATTCTCATTGCATTTTCTAAGTTTCCTCCACCAGAGATGTCATCTCACTTTTTCCCTGGCTGCCCACTTCTGTCATCCATTAGGAGATATTGTGCAGGCTGGCATGTAGACCACACCTCACACATTTATAGCCCAATACTTGTATCATTTGGCCATCTCCTCCTCATCTGACTATTGATTACTACCTATCACTATTCTCCATACATAATTTTGACTCTGAAAGAGTAAGTTCTTCCTTTTATTTCTTCTTTTTTCTGTGGTCTTTTCACCTTTGCAGGATCCTGCTCTGTGGTAAACAGTGCTTGTCCAGGTATACTCAAATGTAAATTTGCACCATACAGCTGTACAGTCTGTAATGCTCACTGAAGTGATAGGGTGTTCCACAAAACCACTGGAGGTTACCTTGTGGTATCTTGCTTCATAAATAAGATCTACACCAGACTGTACTATCATGAGTAAAGCAATGTCAGGATTGCTGCTCATCTCTCTGGTCCTAGTTGAATAAACTGGGACCAGTCTGCTTTTCAAAATAGGGCTTTGTGGTCACCCATTGTACTGACTTATGTGTTGTAATTCTCCAGACTCTCCACTGAGTTGTCCCCCCCCCCTCTCCCAGGGAGTATGGAAGCCCTTGCCACTTTCCCTACCCACTGGTGCTGTAAACCATGGAGACTTTCTCTTGAGTGTGAGAGGTTCTACTCAGTTGAGAGTAGGGCAGTTATGTTCTGTTGGTGTAGATAGTGAGTATTTCCTCTTACCACAGACTGGAAGAAAAGTTCCTGATGCCATCTGATTTTGGACTGGATGAATCCACCACATGCAGTTCCCCCGTTTGGCTAGCTTTTCCCTATCCTATCACTGCCAGGATGTCAATTCCCAGGTGGTCTGCTGTTGGATTGGCACAGGACCAATCTAGCCAACATAAGACCTCACACATGTGGTTGATAGGGACCCTCCTCCTACTGTGGGCAACAAAATCCTGACACTACCCGGTGTTGGACTGGAGTTGACCCACCACATTCACATGAACCCTTTCTACCATTGCTAAGATTTCTAGTTCCTGAGGGGTCTGGTGTTGGTTGTGTACTGGGCATGCACACATGTGCCCTGCCTGGGTTGTCTGAATGAAAGTTGTTTTTCCCTTCTGCTTCCTAGTATCAAGGTGAAGACAGTTGGGACTCTCCTCCTATTGCAGACTGAAGGATAAATACCTGATACTGCCTGGTTTGGGACTGGAGTTGACCTATTGAATACAGTCCGACACACTCTAGCCCCTCTACATTACCTGGCACATCCAATTACAGATTGGATGAGCATCTTTTCTGCCCATTTTAGTAACACATATCTTTACAACAGGCAAAGAGTATACCTGCTATGAATGAAGCCTATACATTAGGGTATCACACTCTATGAGTTCTCTTCAGGCACCTTCCAAAGAGTGCTCATCTTGGTACTTTTGCACCAATCCCTCCACCATTTCAGTGTGGGATTCTAGCTATTATATGAGTAAAGGTAATATATTGTATCGGAAGTTAACATTTTCCTACACTGAAAATGTATTTTCAATACATACTTACTTTTGCTAACACTTCCCACCTGTTCTCTCCACTTCTGGTGCATCTTTTGTACCTAATCCTGAAGTAATGATAATACTTTACAGTATAAAGTTGTGTTAGGAGGGTGTGTTGAACTCCTGTTGGTGGAGGTCTTTTGCATTTTCCCATTTGCATGGTACAGTGCATCTATACCACAAAAAATTACTTAAGGGTAAGTGGGAGCATCAAGACTAATGGCGAGTGAAAATTGCACATGTAGAGGGCAGTACAAGTCGAGAAAAAGCTGTTATGTGAGAAGAGGAAAGTATCTATTGGAAATACATTAACATTGTAGGAAGATGTTAACTTTCAGTCCCTTTATAAATTTGTTCAGAAAAAAGCTGGTATTGCAAACCTCAAAGTTTCCAATGCCTATGTGATTAAACTGTGTAGTTATGAAAGCCAGAAATTATTTCAAGTAGAGATCTTAGCTACTGTAAAAAGTTAAGAGACAGAAAATTTAACACTTGAACACCCCAATGTAATAGAGATATTTCAAGTGCCTATTTGTATAACATTTGGTATGATTTTATAATCATACAATTCACAAAAATTCATTCTGACAACCAGGCAATGCCACTGATAGAAATGCATAAAGAAACCTCCCCATTTTTAATTAAAAATTTAACTATCAAACCAATTAAAAACTTAGTTATATCTAGCTACGTAAACAAGTGCTGTAAGTAGACATTTGAAAGAAAATAGTAAACCATGCAATTGTAAAAAATTAAAATGTTGATGCCAATGAGCCAGTAGTAATATATATATAGATCAGTATTAATCTCCATTTGAGAAGAATAAGTTGAAAGAAAGGTACACTAGAGTAAGACAGTATTTGTTATGTCTGTGATATATTCAGATCAGATTGGTTTTCGTTAGAGCAGTTAGATAGATCCACTCAATAACAGCAGAGTTGAACAAATATCTGTCACAGAGTAGTTATGAATTTCTTTGAATAACTGAGTTTGTGATAATAAAATAGTTTATGCAGTATAACACACAAATGAACAATCTTTATACATCACTAACACACACACACAGAGTGTGTATACTTGCTTGTTTTACAAACGGATGGTCACTTTTACTGGATCAGTGATAACTTCCATCTGACTGACTTGGCCAAGGTCATCTACCAGACTGTTTAAACCTAACATTACTTACTTCCAAGGTAACATTAGGCTGATACAGAGCAATTAGAGCTACCCACATGACTGTCTTTCTCATTCAAACTTAAGGGAGACTATAATTTCAAGGCATCACCTGAGCTACTGTTGGAGGACACCATTGTTGACATTCTTGCACAACATACAGCATCACAGCTATACTGCCCTAAAGGCAAACCAGGTGTTACTTCAAGAGAATAACAAAGAACAGAAGTGGCTAGAATGAAAACAACTTAATGACTTTCTTGACCATGTGTTACGTGAAAACTGCACATACCAGAATAGTTGACAAATTGTTAAAAATAATGAGGTAGAAAAAGGATGGTATCCTTAAATACCACATGTCTCTTAACTTAGATTATTTATTTGTATTAAGTGGTTAAATAATCCTTAACTATTTTCTTGTGCTTTCTATAAAAACTTGCATTGAAAAATTAGAATTGATACTGATATTATATACTATATTTAAAGCTATGATGAGAAATATTTCATCTTGCTAAATAAAAGCTTTTTATACACATGGAATGTTACATAGTGATTCCATGAATTGTACTCAGTTTTGCATTTTATGAATGATTTGCTCAAATCATGTTTTAAATCATTCATAGTGGAATCATACTGGCACTTCAGATCTTTACTGTTTTTAAATTTAATTTAACAAAATTTAAGTGAAATTTTACACCCTTTTAATGAATAATCACATTTTCTAATTCAGAAATAAATCACAGTAATTGTGATGCATTAGCTATTTTACTACACGTTTGAGACAAAGAAAAAATACATTTACAAGGAAGTTGTCCAGAATTCTGTAAAAGAACTATATTAACACTGACTGGTAGATGATTGATTCAAGTAATAATATTTGTGCAAATATGATACTTTTCTAGTGTCACTTTTTCTTCTTCTTAATACAGGTTTGATGTTCAAATTGTTTCAGATATTGGGTGTCGGAGTTTGTTATGTATATATATACTAGCTTATAGCATGTCAAAAATGACGAGGCAAGTACTACCACCCCCACCCCATAGTGTACCTTAACTTCACATTTTATAGATAACTGAAATAAATGCATTTTGTGAAATCAAGCTTAACCAACAAAGAGGCAGAAAAGTGAAGTTGAGGCAGTCAAACGTCCATAAATTTCTTTGTGAGCCAATCAAAATTAAGATCATTCATGAAATGAATTTGTGGTGTATTCATAGAATAATTATTGGTAAAAATCAGTTAGATTAACATCTTGTAATATATATAAAAGCCAGTACGTTTTGGTAACACCACATTCCAACAATGGCTTTTATGTCATGTTGCTAAGCAACAAAAGTATAACCTAATATTGTTGTTAGTCTATGTACTGAAAGTATGAAAAAAAATGTATAGATAATAAAACTGGAAAAATATTTTTGATTTCTTAATTTAGAGTCTCTATTGATTAAAAAGGTTTGTTTTTTATTAAAAATGTTGGTGATATAGCAACAGAAAATAGCTTAATTTAGAAATGATTTAAGTTTAAGATTGGCTCTAGCTAGGTGATCCCATGCTACATCTTTACTTTAGGCTTATTATACCAACACTTACTACACATACAAGGTTTCACAGCACACACACACACACTCCACAGCTCCCTTGCATCCCCTTCACTAAAATTGTAATGGGCAGACAGTAATTTTGCTTTTATGACTCCTCTTATTTTGAGAAATCAAGTGTTATGTGATGTGATACACACTAGGTTTTATACAGGTTAGATTTTGGGGAGGACAGTAATATTTTTTCCACTTAGTGTATTTTTCCATAATCAACTATCAGTCACTGCAATCATATTATTTCCTAATTAACTTTTTTCTTATTTTTTTATTTTACCCAGGGAGGTAGATTTTGTAAACAAGTTTATTTATTGTGTTATGATTACATTACTTCCTGTGCTTTTTAGTGGCATATTTTTGTGAGAGTTAGGATACAAGTTTTTTTGCTGTATATACTATGACCTATCAGTCTAACATGCATTTACTTAAAACTGTCTTGTTTTGTTTGTCATAACACCTCACTCTTCTACAGACTGTTTATTTTAAGTCATTTCAGGACTTTGGTGCAAGATATGAATTTTAGGGTCCGTAGTTCACATTCTGCTACCTGGTGGTTGATGGTGTTGACTTGCTGCCTTCCCTCTATTTTGACATTTCAAAAATATGAACAGCTAGTGTGATTAGCTCTTTTGTATCTTTGTGTGAACATCTGAAACAAACAAGGAGTATTGGTCATTTGTTTTTCTAAGACTTATTCACATTGCTTTGCCTCATTTGTAGGACTTTTTTTTATGACAATTCTATAGGTCCAATCTTCAGCAAAAAGGTTATTGAAAGGTTAGTTGTATCATCTTCATTAAAAGGCATCTCTTTTATGCCCTTTATTATGTTGGATTATCCACAGTAACTTGTGTATTATTGCTGGATGGATTTTTTTACTATTCTGTAAATTAATTTCATTAGGTACCTTCACCTTGGTATTTCTATTTCCAGTCTTTGTACTGTTTTATTTGTATGGCAGAATGGCTCAGGCAGTTAATTTAGATAGATACCTTTATATTGTGTGCACATCAATGTCTAGTTAACTTTCACAGAATTAAAAATGGACTGGTTTTCTTCTGTGGAGATTTTTTAGAATTGTATACATCCAGACCATCTTTTATTATGAAAAAAATCTAAAGAACTTTTATGAGTTTTTTTGGTAAAATCTGTAAAAAATCTATGTTTACTTTGAGTTACTTTACTACTCAAAGAAATTTTAATATTAAAACTATGTGCTTGTAGATGGATCTTCCCTCATTTAGAGTTGTCATATAAATATGTTGTTGTTTTTTCAATTTATTTTAAATCTGTGTTGTAGTTTTTATAAAGGTAAGCAAGTCATGTTAAGATTATTAACATTTAGGTTTATGTATAAAATGCACAACTTGACAGTGATTGAAATGTTTTTTGTAATTTTTTATTAGTTTTTCTTTTGTGGGAAAGGACAGTAAAATTCTCTGTATTAATGTAATATTATAGAAAAAATATATATGTTCATGTCATAAACTCCACTATGATAATGTAGTTTGCCTGTGAAAGCTTCATCTTACTTATTCGTTCCTTTTGTGCATTTTTCCTTCACTAGTGAGATTGTCATATATTTAGCTGCATTAAAATGGCTAGATCATGACTTTTTAAAGAGAGAAGAATACATGCCTGAAGTTATGAAATGCATACGATTTTCTACAATGACGTTGGAAGAAGTCCTTGCTTGCTACCACCCTCCTATTTTGCCTGGTATCACACAGTATCCTGTTGTTAGAGATTTACTATTAAAAGCAACCTGGTAAGTGGGGGAAAACTTTTGTTAAACTTGAAGTTTGTATGTAAGGCCTGTAGATAAAATATCAATAAGTGCAGTTATTAAAATACTCATCATGTATTTGAAACACTTTACAGAACTTGAAATTAGTGCTAGAAAACTAGCAAATTGCTGTGTAGTGTTGCAGTTTTGCTAGTAAAACTTATAAGCCACTAAAACAAATTTTGCTAGTACACTAGTACAAATTTCAGAATGAAGATTCTTACTGTCCAGTATTAATACACCCATGATACGTAAGTGTATTCAGTCATTTAAATTGCAATATTCTATGTACAGAAGGTGATTTTAATTGTGATTAACAAGATAATTTTACTTGCTGGAAAAATGCTTGTTTTACGATCCTCATTTGAACTGCATGACATGCCAGGCTAAGCATCAGGAAATGGGAATAATGGTTCCATTTGGTTGACTGCTTTCCAAGGCAATTAATATATGGGTCAGCCTTTGAGCTGCATTTGTACTGGCAGAGCTGTTAGAAACACTATACCACATTGGTTACTCATTGGAGGTAATAGTAAAATTGAAATTATGTAAACTGCAGTTGTTTTTTCCATATTTCTTTTAATTTGTCTATGATTAACATAACTTTTAGTCCTATTGGGTTTTAATAAATTGCAAGTTTTTGGCTTTTCAGCTATGAATTTTGGATAATAAAATAGTTTTTAGTATAGGGTGTCCACCAGTAGTGGAATACTGTAGATTTTGTCAATCCAGGCACTCATACGTACTAGTTTATGTGCAAATCAAGCATCTTTTAACTTTTGTGAAATAGTAAAAATAAAAACTGTTACACAATTGAAATGAGTTTTGACATATTGAAAAATATTTGTGAAGAAAACATTACACAGAAGATTTATATATATGTACAAAGGTTTTGACATAAGGACTGGATTCTTTTCAGTAGGTGTCTGTAACTTGTTGGCAATAAGTTTCAACAATAAATGGACAGCACACAATCCACTTGTTTTAAACTAATATATTCAAAACAAGTCAAATGTATGTACAAAAAAAATCTTTACACTATTGGTTATCACAGTTGAATCTAGAGCTTAAAATAATTCTATTTTTCCTCAAAAGTCTACACAGGCTGATTCAGTTTCTTTAGAACCCAATTGACAAGACAAATTATTTATTCTCTATTCTTTTATCACAACAGAATCAGTGATAAGGTGATTTACGTTACCCCATGGTTTACCACAGTCATATCCAGAGCTTTAAATAATTCTCTTTTATATCAAAAGTCTGCACAGGCTGGTTCAACTACTTTAGAACCCAACTGACAAGACAAATTCTTCTTCTCTATCTCTGGTGTTACAATACAAGCTGTGAAATTCACTTCAAATTTACCACTATAACTGTTGGTTACCTCAGTTTTATCCAGAGCTTTAAATAATTGTCTCCTTTTCATCAAAGTCCACACAGGCAGGTACAATTTACCTTAGAACACCCTTTGATAAGACAAATCATTCTTTTTTAGCTCTTTTGTTACAATACAAGCTGTGAAACTCACTTTAGATTTTGCCAGTTATGGTTAAACTGACAGTCTACCTTCAATTTTTTTACTTTTACATTCACAGTCATACTTAACTCTGTATCTGCATGTATTTATAATACACGACAGAAAAATCTAGAACTATCTAGCTCTTTAGTAGCAACAATATTACACCTAACAAGAAAAACTAATAAGCTTCGAGTAAGATGGTGTCAACAATATTACAAAAGCCTAATACAACAAGTAAACTGCGTACACAGTGTATGACTCATACCAGGTTATGTAACGAAACGTGTTGTAACTATTACTTTTATAATGAATAACGTTTAACACTCTTGTTAAGAAAATTAAATAATCATTTAATATTAAATCACTAAATAAACAATATCATAACTTGTAAATTAAACAGTCTTGTGTATATATCTTAACAATAAGCCCCTTTTCAAGAAAAGTATTTACAGACTGTTCTCAGGTCATACACGAAGTCTCCTCATATGGTCTGTACTAACATTTGCAGTTCCCTTTTTGGTCTCTCTTTGCACAGGGCATCTGGTAAGGCTTCACCTTGACAGGATCCCTTGTCTTTGTCTTGATCCTTTGTTGCCTGAGGTCTGTCTTGCCTGATCTATCACCTTTTTCTTCTGCTAACCAGTCACTTCTTAAGCATAAGAGATCTTTATCTTCTGTTACAAGGTCACTGTCTTCTGGTTCTGCATCTATGACAACTAAACCTGCCATGTCCATCTGTGCCTCAATAGCTGCATCTATTAGGTCTGCATCCCTCTCAAAGTACTTCTTCAACAAATTGGCATGGTAGATCTTGCTTTTCCCATCCACTGTCACTTTATAATCCATTCTTTTGACCTCCTGCACTTCAAAAGATCCTTTCCATTGCAGGGTGAGTTTGTTGTTGTCTGTAGGTAGCAGAACCAAGACCTTCTGTCCAATCTTGAAATGTTGATCCATAGCTTTCTTGTCATACAAGTACTTCTGACTACCTTTGATGTGTTTAACTTCCCCAGTAGAACTGCCTTGATAGATCTGGTACAATACTCCCTTCCATCCCTCTATTTTGTAGGTCCCTTTCCCATTATCTTGTGCTCGACATTCTCCCAGGCACTGCCCCAAAGTTTCTGCAGTGAAGGGTCTTTCTTCTGTGCTTCCTTAAGTTCCTGTAGACCTACATTCAGGATGTCATCTTTCAAGGCTTGCAGAGGTTTGATGTCTTGCTTAATTTTCTTTTCTAGAGCTCTAGTAATGACTGCTTATACTTCATCAGTCCTCTTTCTGTTTGATTCCTCCAAACTTCTACTACCTGTTTTGTTTCTAATCCCCAAGTTGTAGATTGGTGTCTTCATACACATGGTTTTAAGGTATTGTACATAGTATGGAGTATCCACCTTTATTTATGCTATGTGAAACTTTCTCACTGTCCCATCAATCAACACATTCCCAGACATACCTTTTCTGTCATCTGATCATCAGATACTAGACTAATTCTCAGTGTCTTGTAGAACTTTCACTTTCTTGTCCCCATCATAGACTTCACCTACTGGCATGTTGTGATTTGTTGGCATCTCACAATGTTTGTCAGATGGTCCATTGTTAATCCATTTGCTAAATTGGGTTGACCATCAGTCATGTACTGTTTAATCATGGAGATAGCACTTCCTTGTTGTGGTGAATTTAATGAGTTGTCTCTATTCTGTTTCTTCTGTGGCAGCAGCATCCATGGTGATGGTCACTTTTTTGTTTCTAGCCAGCACCATATTTGTAGGTAGCTCCAGCTGCTTTGATATTTCTGCTGCACTCCTTTACAATGTGCCCTATTTTATAACAAGCATAGCATCTCTTCTCCCTTTAGTCTGTTGACTTTTTGTCACCTTTGGTGGTATTCTGCTTCTGGTCAGCTACTACTGGTTTCAATTTTAACTGGTTATACTTGGACTTGCCAGTTATACTCCATCCACGGGCTTCCATATATTGTTCTGCCAGCTTGATCATCTCATCTACATCTTTTGGTGCTCTCTTCTTTAGGAACAGTGATAAGGCAGTGGAGCACATGATCATGAACTGTTCATGTTTTAGTAAATATGCTAGTCCTTTAAAACTATTTTCACACTTGGCCATGTCAGTCTATCTTGTGAAGTATCGCTGTAGGTGTGCCACTAATTGAAATACAGTTTCTCCAGTGTCAGGTTTGACTTCTCTGAACTTCTGATAAAAACCTTCCTCGGTAAGGTCATGGCATTTTAGCAATGCCACTTTAACTTGTCATAGTCCATGACATCTTCTGACATCATGCCTGCATATACTTATAGGCCTTTTCCTGTCAGATGGGAGCCGAGACAGACTGCCCTGTCTCCTTTGTCCCAGTTCTGACTTTGGGCAAATCTGTCATATCTTTCCAGAGAAGCATCCATGTCATCTTTCTGTTCATCAAATTTGGGATTGACCCCTGACCCCATTATCATTCTTGATCTCAATTTGTGCTCTTATTCTATCTTTTTTTCTCCTTTTCTTCTTTTAGTTATTCTTTCTATCTTCTCAGTCTCTCATCCTTCCTCGTCTGTTGCCACTCTTCTCCAGTTCTTGTTGTTGTTTAGCAAACTCTTGTAGATCACAATCTCTTAGATCAAGTTGCTCACCTCTCTCTCTATCCATTTATCAAAATCAGTTGATGTGATTGTAATCTCTGCACTATTTTCATTACCACTACAGTTTTGTGTATATAGACCTACTTCCACTGTCATTTACGTCTTTTACTGCCATTTACCACTGTATAATCCTGGCTGGCTCACCAATGTCAGGTTTTTATAGGGGCCACAGTTCTTTACAGTCTGTGACTTGTTAGCAGTATATATCAACAATAAACAGACAGCACAAACTCCTCTTGTTTTGAAATAATATATTCAAAAGTCACATGTATGTAAAAAAAATTCTTTACACTATAGGTTATTACAGGTATTACATAGAGCTTTAAATTATTCACTTTATCATCAAAAGTCCACACAGCCTGGTTCAATTGCTTTAGAGCCCAATTGACAAGATGAATTATTCTTGTTTATCTCTGTTATTACAATACAAATTGCGTAACTTTCACTTTAAAAATCGCTCGTTAAGGCTAAACCGAATCACATAGTCTAACGTCACTTTTAATAACTTACTTACTCTCTGTATCTGTCACGTATTTATAATTCTAAACAGTAAAACCTAGAATTATCTAGCCCTCTAGTAACAACAATATTAAACATAATGAGAAAGACTTAGAAGCTTTGAGTAAAATGACATCAACAATATTACCAAAGCCTAGTACAATGACTAAATTGCTAAACTGACAATCACACAGTCTAACTTCATTTTTACTTTCACTAACTTACTTACTCCCTCTTTCTGCATGTATTTATAAATTCCACCCATAGATTACAAAACTTTTTGCACATACTGTAAAACCAATTAACTTTACATGGCTTTACTCACTAATGTTTGTTGCTGTAGTTCTATTGGAAATAAATACTTTTCATGCACAGTCTTTATTTATTAAAGTGACTGAAACATAATTGGTAGATTAGTCCCAAAACAACATTTCCCATTAAAAGAACTTCTGCATGAAATATTGTTTTAAAATAGACTTCTTTTTTTTTCAGTTATTTAGCAGCAAAATCAACGAAACAGAATAAAAATTTTGAAGAATATTCTTCTAAACCTCGATTGTTTCTTGCAAAAACAAAGCATAGGTTAGGATGGGTAAGTTGTGTGCATAGATTGTTTCTTTTAATAATAATATCTTAATAAAAATATAAAATGTTTGAAATCACTGATTTAATCAGCTGTTATGTACAGGAACAAAAATGATTAGGGTTTATCTACTAAAGGTTAAGGTTATCAAAAATAAATGGTATTATAGCTATAGACTTGCATGGTTGTTTTCCTTCTTAAACTGAAAATTTAGATAACCAAAGAGTAAAGGTTGAAGTTTACTCAACATGAGATGAGTCTGCTGAAGTTTAAAGCCTACATCTTAATAGTCATGTATTAAAGCTTTATTATAAAGAGATAAAAGCTAAAAAAATTTTAAAAAATTAGTGTTATATTTATTCACATTGTGATGTTCACTACTGCTCTTTTTCTTTCTCCTGAATCATGTTTCAACTTTTCTTGGACATTTTCATTCTGGTTTTCTACATCAATTCTGATATTCTCAAGCTATTTGCTTTCTTACTTTGGAAATCCTATTTTAGATTGAAAAACTAGTTTCAAAATGAAAGTATGATATTCTACATATTACATGTTTGATAGTTAAACACCCAAAGTGTTCTCCTTGAAAAACAGTCACTCTTCTCGTTTGATTTTTTATTTTTATTTTGGATGACACTTAATACTAGGTTCTGACTGCTATTTAATTGGAGTTATTTGGTACTTTTCTGAGGGTTTCATTGTAGTTGGTCCTTTTTATTTTTAAAAGTATTATAAGGAATATATTCATAATTTTTAGTATGTTACTTCTTTCCCCATTTATGAAGGTTGTTGTATTTTGTTTATGCTGTAACCACTCCTTATTTTAATATGTTTGTATTCTACTTTTCTATACATTATAAAGATAAGCCAACATTTTATAATTGAAAATAAATTTCAACTGTGTCCTTACTTCTGTGTGTACATCTCATCATTTTATCTCCATATTTGTATTCTGTCTCTGATAGAATGACGTCTAGTTTTGTAATACCAATGTAAGTTTTGTGAGCATATGTAGGACACATGGAAATGGACTATAGCCTGGATAGGTTATCTTGTATACACAAAAGTGTTTCTGAGAAGAAGAATAACATTATAAATGTGTACAGGTAAAGACAGAAAATAAGCTTATAGTTTGACAGCTCATGTCAATGTTAGACTCTTTCTTCCAATAGGAGCCCGACACACCCTTCTAGTATAGCTGACTCCCTCTATAATGTAAAGCACTCACATCACTTTTCGATTTGGCATTCCAGTCTGCAGTCATGCTCGATTTTCACTCATTGTTTCATCTGATCGTGTACAATTTCACTAAATAATACTGTATTGACAACTTTAGTTTGTTGTCATTTATTTTTTTTATTTTTTGGCCTTTTCACCACGGACACTTGGGTTCTTCAGGTTCTAACAGAAGGACTGTCTCTTCATTTTTCTGCTCCTCCCCCCCTTTATCCTCACACCCTATTTCTTTTCCCCTCCTCAGGATCCACTTTCTTGTAAGCATTTCTCTGAGGGAGTTCAAGATTTTTTTTGAACAAAGGCATTATAGAACAAGTGTTTCACCCTTCTCCAGGTTTTTTTATTCCCAAGAAGACCTGGGATTGGCATTCTGTTATTGATCTTTCCAAACTCAACTGCTTCATCGACCTCCATGCACAGTAGATCTACATAAGCACTTGAGATTAACTTCTTTCTTATTCTCGGCATTATCTCTCTCGACTGGACAGGATTCTTTCTACAGAGTGGTCACTCCATCCTTTTGTTGGACATGTGGGTATGCCATTGATCGATGTCTTCACCACGCCTCTCAACATCAAGCTTCCTTTCCTGTAGTTCCCAGTATTTAACCCAGCTTCTCTGACAGTGGGGTATACCAGTGATCGATTTCTTCACCACTCCTCTCAACATCAAACTTCCTCTTTTCTGGCTGTGGATTTCTTTAACCTCGTATCTGATCTTATATCTTTCTGTATGTGTACTCTTAGCTACCACCTCATACATTTATCTTTCACCCAGTAGTATTAAACCTTTATCTTCGTGGTTGTTTCACCAAGAATTGTCAGTTTATACTATAGCACGCTATTAAGTAGCATTGTTGACTAACTTTTGACTTTTTCACTATGGTTCCATCTTTTCCATCCTTGTTCTTTCCACCTTCTTCTGGTCCTTCCTTGTTCATTGTCCCCCTCACCTCATTTCTTTGTCTCACTGGAACATTAATTTGGTTCTACCCAGGCCCCATTTGAACCATTGGCCACTCGCTCATTATACCATCTTTCAAGAGGGTATTGGTGCAATTGTGCTGGTTGTAGATGCATAAATGTGATTACTGCAAAAGTTTTCAAAATGTTTTGCTCTTATTAGACAGTATAGTGTGGGTTAAACAGTATTTCCATAAATATTCACCAGGAATACTAATAACAGACATTTCTAAAGCTAAAGGATGACCAATTAAGCTCAGTTGGTTAATAATAATGTAAGAATATAATTGCTGCTAAGCTACAACTTTGTTTTTACTCTTTTTTTAATTAAAAACCAACCTTTTATAACATATAGTTGTTGATTATAAACTTTGTTTATATCATCCAATTTTTTGCAGTTTGAAAATACAAATTTCTATTCTTGTGTGAAACATTCCAGTCATTAAAACTATATATAAGTATAGCTCTGATATATTTGTTTATTTATACTGTTTAAATAAGAGACATGAAATTACCATACAAATTAGAAAAACATAGAATACTAAAGAAAAAAAAAGAGTAAGGGTGAAATAATTTTGTTATTAAGCTTTTTTGTTACACTTTCCTTGTAGCATGTTTCTAACTTTAACAGTTTCTTCATGTCACAAGTATTATGGTATAGGTGGCATAATCATAACAACGATGATATTGGAACTAAGTCACTAAAATATTGTAATTTCTCTATTTAAAAAACAGACTGTTGGAAACCTAAGTGAGGATAAGTAGCTACTTGAGACTACATTAATAATCTTTTATTTCAAAAATATCATTTTGTAGCACTTCTGTATATATATATATATATATATATATGTGTGACTTAGTT